GACAGCGCCCCAGCCCATGTCACTCATCTGCACCGGGAACCAAGCGGCCGAGCTCAGGGCAGGGCCTGGCCAGCCCTGCTCTGCAGCTGGCTCCCTCCTGACACCACTCAGGAGAGGTTTATTTCCCCTACTAACAAGAATTCAGCCCTCTTCCTGCTAAAAGAGGCTAAACTCTCAGTCACCTTTAGCTTAAATACTGGGAGGTGTCACAAAGCAGGGGGTGAAAAGTTTAGTGCCTACTCACCGGACGGTACGTGATGTCTCTAGGTGGGTACTTGAAATATGGCCCAAAGTTTATAGAAACCTGTGGGAGACATTTATCATTAAATAAAACTTAAAAAGCAAGATAAATTGCTTTAGTCTTCCAGCCTGATCCCCTCCTGCTCCTGAGCCCCTCTGCACCCCGTGGAAGGCCCCATGAACGTGTTTGTTCAGGGGTTTGGGGAAGTCCCATCCCACAGTGACCAGCAGCACTGCCCCAGAGCCACGTCACAGAATTAACTCCCACCTCTCCTCTCCACCTGACACTCCTACACTCTGCACCCCTGAATCTGTGCACACACAGGAGCCACTTCCACAGACCCGTTCCGTACCGTGCAGCCTTTGTACAATGAAATGGCAGGAAAATAAACTCCTTCAAAGATGTCTGTAAAGGCAACTCCTTGGCTGGCACCATTCTTGAAGAATATTATCTGAAAAGAAAAAGCAAGAAGTTTTTTTCCCCATTTTTGCTAACTTTCATGACCCTTCCTGGTGAACTACAGAGTGACCTCCCAGAGGCACCTTAACCTGCACTCCCTTTACCCAAGGCAGACTCAGCAGCAGCAAAACACCACGAGCAGTGGGTGCAGCTGGTTCCCAGTGAAGCCCTATCAGCCTCCATGGCTCCCTGAGCTCTCTCTGCTCCCCTCACGTTCTGCCTCCTCCAGCTCCCAGTGCTGAACCTACCTGGCTCCCAGGTGCCTGCTTCAGGCTCTTCTCTGCCTTGTCGACGAAGTCCTTCTCTTCAAAGTACAAGTAGCTTTTGAATTTGATCAAAGCCTGAAATATCAGAAAACAACCACTTCAGAAGCAAGCCAGGAACTGTTATTACCCTTAGTGACACGTTACAGAGCGTCCCTGGGCAGGGACAGGCATGCCTGTTGTGTCAGAGTACCCCCCAGGAGTGATTCACACACCTCAAATATTTGACAACCAGGAGGGGAAGACGACGTGGGCAGCCTCACTCAGCAGCCCATGCAGAGCCTCTGCGTGGTTCTGGGTATTTTGTTTTCAATGCTCTGGACCTCTCTGCCATGAGCCACCAGAGGCAGGATGTGCTCACAGGGGGCAGAAGTGAGGCTACAGCAACCTGCTCTCCACTCACCCACCTGCCCAACACTTCACCCGAGGGTGAACTCCAGTCTCACCTTATCTTTGTAGGTGTCAGGCAGCGATTTGGCAGTCTCAGTGTCTTCTGGGAGGCTGATGTAGAAGCCCAGGACATCGCCCTGCCCGTAGCCAGACGAGTAGTGTTTCCCTATTGACTGGTGGAACTTTGTTCCCTTTTTGCTGCGCCAGGAGTAACTGAACTTGTCGTAGCCCAGCGGCGCCTGGAGGTTCCCTGTGGAAACCAACGTTTCCTCATGAGCACAGAGGTGGAGCAGGAGCACCTCCGTGTGTCCCACTCCGGGTCTCACCCAGTAATTACACTGTTAACAAACAGCTGCCATCAGCACACACGTGTGGACTGGGGGTCTAGGCAGGGCCAAGCGTGCGACAGCACGAAGGACCCACCCACAGTGCAGGTCTGCACGGCTCAGATCACCCACAGAGCTTCCCCTTCAGAAAAGAAGTGAAGAAGCTGGCAAGCTGAGCACTGCTCCCCCTCCTTAGCTCTAGACTGCTGGGACGTGAAGGCAGGAAGGAGCCAAGGCTGCTCTGGCAGGGGACTCACCCAGGGGCTGTGACCAGCCCAGCCGGGCCGCCGTGTCCGGGGGCATCTCGTCCATGGCTATCTCGAAGTACCAGGCGCCCTTGCGCACGCCGTGGGAGGCACGCACCATGGAGTAGCCCTTCTCCCCCACAACAGTCAGCCTGTCGTCAGAGACCTTCAGCTGGGGAGCTGTGGCAGAGGAGAGATGACATGAGCACTTTGGGTGGGGTTCCTAACGGGCGACGACATCAAGAGGTAACGGGAGGGCCAGACGTGGGTCTGGAGCAGCAGCCCAGGAGCGTGAGGTCGCTGGACACCCCGGGGGGACGAGCCCCCACCTCGGTCGTGCAGCGCCAGCAGGACCCTCTCGTAGAGGCAGGCTCGGTAGAGGTCCCCAGGGATGGGCTTTCCTGCCCAGCAGTCCAGCTCCAGCTTCTCGGGGTCGGGCGCGTGGGGGTCGGGCTCGGCCAGGATGTAGCGGTACCCGTCCTTGTTGAAGGGGTGCTCCAGAGGGTACCCGTGGGGGGGCAGGCGCTGAGCCGAAAACAAGGGGTCGCTGTGGACACAAACCCTGCAGGTTGGCATCTCCAGACAGCCACGGTTCAGCCCCCACAGAGCCCAGGACAAGCTCCCAGGGCCGCAGCCCTCACAGCCTGCAGGGCCCGTGGCCTCCCGGAGCCCGCGTGGAACCGGCGCGTGCTGCTCTACAGAACGGGCCCAAAACGGCCCATTTCAGACCACCTCCAGCACAGGGCCCACTGACAGCTCCACGGGGCTGTGGCACGATGCCCCACGGGCTCCCAGGGGCAGAGATGGGCCATGGCCAGCACAGGGCCCCTCACCTCCTGGTCTTCTTGGCCGTTCCCGTGGTGCCTCCGTCCTGCTGCTTGCGCTTGGCTCCCCGCCCCTTCCCGCTGCCTCCCGCGGCGACTCCCCCTGCACACACAAACCACAGCCTGGCAACGAGCCGGGGGCCGGGGCGAGCCCCTGAGCAAGGAATCTCCACCACAGAAAGGGGCAGGAGCAGCCAAACCAAACCCAGCTCCCCAGCTCAAGTGCCTTCTGCCACTGCTAGGGCTGGAACAGGCTGTACCGAAAGCGAGCGCGGCAAAACCCAGAACTTCTGTGCAGCCTCACGTGCTTTTGAAGTGTCAGCACTTGGAGGGGAAGTCAAAGACTTACCAACACGTTGAGCTCAGCTCAAGCTTTTAAGATGAGATTTAAGAATCTTATCTGTTCTCAAAAGATCTCCAGAGGGTGGCATTGGGATCCACCCCAAAGGCATTACTGGCTTTCATGGAGATTCCACTCACTTTTCACATTATTTTCTCCAGAAGTAACAGAAGACCCAACCTACAGCCCACACAGGCTGATTTTAAGCCAGGTCATCATCCCAGGGGCACACTGGGAGACACTCTGACACCAGGAAGCACTTAACATTAAATTTCCATCCACAAAATAAAATAGACTTAAGGTGAGGGAAAATGAAAAGCAGTAAAGGTGTTTCTCTTCAGCATCACCCAAATCAGTGCTATGGTGGGACAGGGTATCCCCTCCTGTCACAGCACCCAAATTTTACTCATAAATCAAACCACAGCACAGGAGAAGTTCCTGTCAAACGTCATCAAACTCATCTGATGTTTTAGTACCTCAGATTGTAAATGCATTTATCAGGAGCATGCTACTTCAAAAACTGCTGATTTACAAGGAAAACTCCAGAATTTTTATGTGCTGGAGACAAACACCTTTACAAACTGCCTGCTGTGTTGTAACTGAAAGTACAGCAGCTTTTAAGTTAGCAGCATTCCCCATCCAGTGTAAGGGACTCAAACCACTGGAGGAATACCAGCAGCACCATATTCTGCACTGACTTTGACGTGGCAGCAGCTGCACCTGCCAGTTCTGCTGAGGAAAAAACACTGAGGCTCCACTTTGTCAAGGCTTATTGGCCTGAGCCATCACAGCACCACACCAGCTCTCAGAGCCAGGGCCCTTATTTGGGCATTAAGATTTAAAATGACAACAGTATCAGGTCAAATCATACAGAATAAAAATAAACAGAAGCAGAAATAAAATTTTAAACCAGTCAAGTGAGGCAGAATATGATCATGAAAGGCTTCTAACCACTGAAAATTAAGAAGTGAAATTGTTGCTCTGTATTAAAATATTACTGCAATCACACCAGGGCACGCTCTTGATTTCTAATTGGCTTTAGCTTCTACAATAATTGAGCAAAAAAAGCTTTGCAAACAATAATACTTAAGGTTTAGAAGCTGACAGGTAAATATTCACCTCCCAAAGAGGCTCCACCTGCAAGGACAGAAGTGGCACCACACGTGTCAGTCTTCCAGAAGGTAAACAAAAAAACAACCCGTGCATGAAATGAAGACAACACAGCCTCAGATAGCTACAGCTTGGTTTTAAAAAGCCCCAAGCCCCCCCTGGTAGGAGACATTTCATGTGTCTGGCTGCCAGGTGGGGTTAAACCACACTGGTTTCATCCCAAATGGTGAAGCCTCATGGACAAGGAAACCTCACCTGGTTCACAGGGCCCCAGCAAGGCCACTGAGTGACCCCAGTGAGCAAAGAACAACACAGACCTTCCCCAGCTACTTTTGAATCTCAGGGTGAGGGAAACAGGCAATCTGAGTAACGTGAGCAGGCAAATTAAAACCACAATGGGGGAAACTGGATGAGCTCAGCTTTCCTGCCAGCATCTCCACTCAGCTGATTGCCATGAGGAAAACCAGAACCTCCACAGACGGTAAAGCCAGTCTCTCTGCAGAGAGGCCCAGTGAGGCTAGCTGAACGTGTCTGGAGCAAAATGAGCCCAACCTCAGCCCCCAGGAGAGGTTTAACTGTGGCAGCCCAGCCGTGGGAGCTCAGCCCCAGAGCCCCCAAGCCCCCTGCCCAGGCACTTGCCGTTCAGGCTCCCGCTGGTGGACACGGCGCTGCTCTGCTTCTGGTTGTCATAGGCAGGGCCAATGTTGGCCAGGTCCTGACAGAGACAAAAGAGCCTGATGCACAGACTGCCCAGTGTGCCAGCCCAGCCCTCTGAGGAGCAGCCAGCACAGCACTGCCTCCCCACAGCACCCTCTGCTCCTGGGGAATGGGGACAGCAGCCCCACCCTGTGCTCCCCACAGCACCCTCTCCTCCCAGCCCCAACTACCCACTTGGTCTACAAGTCCAAATTTGGGGTAATCTTCTTCTGGGTCTTTGCTCCCTGGGTCTGGATGCTCTTTCACCAAGAACACATCTCTTTCTTTACACTGAAAGAGGAGCAGTTGAATTGAGGCAGGGTGAGATCATCTCACTAATGCTATTAATTAACAGCTGTTTAAATCACAGTACACACAGTTATTTTGTGGTATTGACACCAACTACACAGAAAGCATCTGAATCTTCACTGTTTAGCCCAAAGTCCAGACCTCAGCACACAACAGCTCCATTTGCAGAAAATCCTGCACAGATTCTCCCCCACACTTACCATGGTTTTGACAATATTGTTTGGCCAGGTCATTTTCCCAGGTCTCTGCCTTGTTGTCATGCACTCCCAGTATTTATCAATGAATGGGATGATGTCCTGTAAAAAGAGAAAAGAAAATGGAGCCTCAGCAGTGTGGAGCTGAAAGTCCTGCTGCAAATACTTGTTTGAAGTTGCTCTTCACTGAAATCTGAGCTTGCCTCAACCCAGGGGGATTTTTAAAGGGCCATACCTTATCTTTTGAGAACAGGGTTTTTGGGTGCTCGTCCTGTGTCCTTGACTGCCAGGTTAAGTTGGCCAGAGCACTAAGGCACATCTCCTTGAGATCTGAAAACAAACAGCCACCCGAGCTGCAGTTACACTCCATGGGAGGACCCAACACCCCCACACACAGAGCAACCACTGAGCCAGCACCCACCTGGGCTGGAGCAGCAGGACCCTCCCAAGCTCCCCCCCAGCCCAGCAGCCCCCACAGAGCTGGTTCTCACCTCAGGAAGTCAGTAACCAGCAGGTAAAACACTTCTAGAAACCCTGCACAGGCGTGTGTGTGATTTTTGGGTCACTTATTAGAAGTTTCTGCAGAACCCTCCCACGGGCTTTAGATAAATACAAAGGGATAGATGAGGATGACCTTGTACAGAATAATGCTTTTGCACTTACTGGCTTGTTTTCTTAAGAAATAGGTGTTCCCACTGTGGTGGCAAACGTTGCAGTGGAAGCTGTAGTTGGTCATGAAGGGCAGACATGACCTGGAAAAGAGCAGGATGCAAGTTCTGCTGCACGCTGGACTACAGCAGGGTGGGAAGTTAATTCTTCTGAATTTGAATTAATGAATACATCAGATTATCAAATTTGCTATTCCAGGTTAACAAATTCATTATTCTCTCTCTCTCTCTCAAAACCCAGGACCTTCTCACAGGTTCAATGATATTTTCATCACATTAGGTTTATCATGGGCATCAAGAAAAGCCACAAAGCTCTTGAAAAAAACAAAAGGAACCCAAGTTTCAAAGTATCACCTTCTTGTTTTAGAGAAGGAAATTAATTCAACAAAATAAAAGACAACAGCCCAGAAGCTCTGGACAAGGAGCTGTCTGGGTCAACTGATTTTAACTGGAAGTCTAGAGTGCTTTTCAGAGACAAAGCACAACCAAAGAAGAAGTTTTCAGTAAGTCTAAGGTGGGTCCCACACTGGCTTTTCAGAAATCTGAGTTTACATTTCACTTCCAGGAAGATTTTGGGGTTCATTCCCAGCAACTGGAAGTGTCTGTTGAAGCCCCTCCCATCACCTCCCCAGCGCACCGAGCCCGAGGGCAGCTCTGACAGTCCTGAAGTCTGGAAAAAAGGGGTTTTCAGACCAAAACGCAGGGCCAGAGCTGCCCCCTGCTGTGCCAGGCCCGTGGCTGCTGCTCACAGCCGGGCTGTGCCCCACACCTACGTGGTGTCGATGCCGAAGGTGTCCGCCGTGAACCACTTGGTGCAGATGCCGCACTGCAGCTCCACCTCCCCCAGCTGCCGCCCCGCCTCCTCCTCCACAGCGCC